AATTTATTGAATTGGTGTAGATATTCTTCGTTGGCTATTTGTCAGATAGTGCCTCTCTGTCTCTATTAAACATCCCTTATCGCACAGCCCAGACAACAGACCGCAAAGAACCATCAAGGGACTGTAACAACGTAACTGAGTAAATCCAATTTTCATTCATGGCCGGTTGCCAGTTGTCAAATAACTTGTTGTTCGTGTTGTTTGAAGCGCTAGGAAAATTAATACGCCTATCGGCCAATGTCTTCAATCTCACAATAGGTAATAAATGATCTAGATGGGAAACGAATAATACTGACCGAGAATAGGCATTTATTAGAGGAACTGCAGTGAACGTGGGTAAGCGCCAGGTCGTTCAATCTAGAAGTTAATCAGAAAGACACAGTGATAGAAAATCGAAGTCACCAGAAGAACACTGTTATTTTCCAGAACCGTATCTAGGTAGTATCCAAGGTCAATAATGCTTGTAAAATATGAAATATATTATTCACCTGGGCCGTTTACTGCCAGAAACTACGGTAGTCCTCAAAATGTAACAATATAAGCCTAGATCGCATTCGAACGAATAACGTTAAGAATAAATCCTTAAACGACAATAACTCATTTGGTGCTCCGTTTTAATTCGCTGCAACTCCCTAATCCTTATTCTGAAAACACACGACAAGTACCACTCGTCGTATTTTATAAGGGCAAATCAGTGAAGGACAATAACCCATTTGGTGCTCCCCTTTAACTCACCGGCACTCGCCTAATTCTAATTCTGAAAACATTCGACAAGTACTACGTGTCGCATATCAAATGGTACAAATCATTGAAAGACTATAACTAATTTGGTTCTCTCCTTTAACTCAGTGGCGCTCGCCTAATTTTTACTCTAGAAACACCCGACGAGTACCACTCGCCGCATTATATAAAGGCAAATCAGTGAAGGACAATAAACCATTTGGTGTTTCCCTTTAACTCGCCTAATTTTTATTCTGAAAACATTCGACAAGTACCACGCGTCGCATATTAAATGGTGCAAATCATTGAAGGACAATAACTAATTCGGTTCTCTTCTTTAACTCATTGGTACTCGCCTAATTTTTACTCTAGAAACATCCGACGAGTTTTATTAGGGCAAATCAGTGAAGGACAATAACCCATTTGGTGTTCATTTTAAATTGGCCACAACTCGTCTATTTCTTATTATAAAAACATTCGACAAGTACTAGGCGGCGCACTTTAAATACGGCGAGTCATTGAAGGACAGTAACTCATTTGGTGCTCTCTTTTAACTCACTGGCGTTCGCCTAATTCTTATTCTGAAAACATAGGGTAAATGTAGATACCATTTGAAGGCGAAATAAAACACATAAACTTTTGTGTTCAATAAAATTCCCGACAAAATTTCGTAACGTTGTGTAGAGCTACAGTAATTTATACAATTTATATCACTAATAATTGGTTGTTGGAAAAAAGGATAATTTTATGGAGCAATATTCACCGCTAATTAGGTTCGCCTTGTTCATATAGCCCATCAAATACCAGTATCTATAAAAAGATGCTTTAGTTGGCCACGAAAAACAAAACTTGAGAAAAACAAGACGTTATTGACGAAGGCAAAAGCCTTTAGGATCGATTATTTGTAGACAAAAAATAAATTGACGATGTTTTTATAATGAAATTATATAAAACCTTGTATTTAATGGCGGGTGGTAAGATAATGTCGCATTTTAATAAGGATCACGGTGTCACACAGGCGACAGTATCTTTTAAAAATAAATTGTAGAGTAACTAAGGACAAAAACAAAAGAGAGAACTAAATTAATTATACGTTTGGACGATATTTCGACACTGTTAAAACAGCGCCCAATAATCGAATTTTTAACATCAGAAAATTTTGCATTTTCTTTTAAAAGCTGTTTACTTTTGGTAATACTGATGATACAGCTAAAATTTCAAGAAATTGGTTTAGCATAAAGTCGATGCACGGTGGTTTTGAAACAGTTCTTCGTTACGCGATGTTTGAACTTATTCGACATCCGCTATATTCTTCGGCTTTGGCTCCGTCTAATATTCACTTCTTCCTCTACCTTAAGGGAAATTCTCAATTATAATTATTATACCACCGTTGACGTTGTAAACGCGGTTAGGGACACTTGTATCCTAAAAATACCACCAGAATTCTTCAACGACTGAATACAGAAACTTCTTAAACGTTGTGAGTAATATTTTAAAGTAAATAGGGGTAATAATGAGAAGTAAGATTAGTTCATAAATTATATTGATTTTCCCATGCTACGTCCTAGTATATCAAGTCCAGAAGGGTTAAAATATTGAATACATTTTCTTACATGAAGGAGAACGCTAGAGTTTGATTTTTTTTGGCCGTAGTTTTGTTTATGGTTTTATAAATATGTATCTTTCTATCGGAAAAGATTCCTTATGTGCTTGACAGTTCCTAGCAGAGCTGAAAATAAGATAATTTAAATTCGGCAGATAACTTACTTATCGCTATCGAAGCGGGCAATATACCTTATATTCGAATCAGTGCGGCATATGGTCAATTCTTCTATCTAAAAAGGATATCAATCGGAAAATACCCAGGTGCAAGACGGAAATCGAAAAACAAAGTCCGTAAGCCGGCAGCATATCGAAAGACAAAATCTTTCCATTCCAGTTGTACATTAAGTAGAAACTTCGCTCTGTTAGTTGTGGCGCTTGTTTTGTTAGAATTGTCAACGCAAATAGCGATCTATGTTTTTGAAATCCAATTTAGCGTTTTGATACGAACTGGAAACAATTTAAATAGATGAACCTATTTTAATGGGCGGTTTATCCACTCGGTATGTAAATAAATCGCTATAAGTAGCATAAAGTTTTGAGATCTTGAATTAAATCGCCAGAAGAGATAATAGAGACTAGGAATACTGGGGAGGAAGTCGGTCGCTTATATGTAGATATAAACCGTTATTGGTGAAGTATAACTCTGAGTCTGAGTGCAACAGGAAGAGGCAAGAGATATAAATTGCGGTAGATCTGAAATAAATAATGCAGGGTAATTTTTATTAAAAAGTTATCAGCAATTTCAAAGGTATTTGAAAACTTTTCAACCCTTTCAAATATTATTAGCGGAAAATACTTGGTAATATTTTTAAAACATGCTTAATTATATTTCAGCTCTAAGAAATTTCTTACGTTCATTGAATTAATTTCTTCTCTGGTGCTTGACTTTCCTTTCCATACACATTTATTGAATCACATCAAAAAAGTTAAGCATGAAAGTTTTAGACCTGAAAGTTTTAAAAGAATCTCAAGTACCTAGTCTCTTTTCGTTCTACCATGGGCACTTTAGCAATTAATGGCGGAAGTTAATTAATAAATCACAAAAGATTTAATGACCTGTCTTTTGTACGTTCTAGAAGCGCTAATAAGCCAGCACAACTATTTCTAAAGCTGACACAAAACCTTCAGGAATAACTTAGTTAACTGGGGTGTAGATATTACGTAAAAGGGTTCAAATAATTAGCGATACACTGCTTTTGATAATGAATAATTTTTGTCATATTTACTATATAAGGGTAGTCAGCGAGGGATTCAATAAAAAAATTCCTAATTTCTTAAAATTTGTATTGAAATTTCGTCGAAACCCTTATTAATTTATCGAATTGATGTAGATATTCTTCGTTGACTATTTGTCAGATAGTGCCTCTCTGTCTCTATTAAACTTCCCTTATCGCACACCCCAGACAACAGACCGCAAAGAACCATCAAGGGACTGTAACAACGTAACTGAGTAAATCCAATTTTCATTCATGGCCGGTTGCCAGTTGTCAAATAACTTGTTGTTCGCGTTGTTTGAAGCGCTAGGAAAATTAATACGCCTATCGGCCAATGTCTTCAATCTCACAATAGGTAATAAATGATCTAGATGGGAAACGAATAATACTGACCGAGAATAGGCATTTATTAGAGGAACTGCAGTGAACGTGGGTGAGCGCCAAGTCGTTCAATCTAGAAGTTAATCAGAAAGACACACTGATAGAAAATCGAAGTCACCGGAAGAATACAGTTATTTTCCAGAACCGTATCTAGGTAGTATCCAAGGTCAATAATGCTTGTAAAATATCAAATATATTATTCTCCAGGACCGTTTACTGTCAGAAACTACGGTAGTCCTCAAAATGTAACAATATAAGCCTAGATCGCATTCGAACGAATAACGTTAAGAACAAATCCTCGAAATTAGTGAAGTACAATAACCCATTTGCTGTTCCTCTTTAACTCTCCACAACTCGCTTAATTCTTATTCTGAAAACATTCGGCAAGTACCACTCGTCGCATATTAAATGGCGCAAATCATTGAAGGACAATAACTCATTTGGTACTCCCCATTATCTTACTGGTGCTCGCCTAATATTTACTCTAGAAACACTATTAGTTGCATTTTATAAAGGTAAATCAGTGAAGGACAATAAACCATTTGTTATTCCTTTTTAACTCGCCACAACTCGCCTAATTTTTATTCTGAAATCATTCGACAAGTACCACTCGTCGCATATTAAATGACGCAAATCATTGAAGGGCAATAACTCATTTGGTACTCCCCATTAATTACTGGTGCTCGCCTAATGTTTACTCTAGAAACACCCGANTCCCCTAATAGTTCTTCCGCCCTTTTTTCCATCCTCCTCTGTACAATTCTAGTTAAGATTTTTGACGCATGGGAAGTTAAGCTAATTGTTCGAAATGTCTCGCACCTGTCCGCGCCCCTCTTCTTAGGTAATGTTACTACTGCGTTCCATTTATAATCCTCTGGGACTTTCCCCGTTTCGTAAATGTGACTAAAAACATACGATCTCTAACTTCTTGTCCTGCATGTTTTAGAATTTCCCCCTGTATCCCATCTTTACCTGGAGCCTTATTATTCTTTAAATTACATTAGATTACATAATTAATCAATTTCACCCCAATAAATCATTGGAGAATATAATACAAAGGTTTAATCGTTATTGTTGCAGTGACATCTGCCAGTTAATCAATCATCAAAATGCCATCTTTAATGGATCCAGATGCTGCTGCTACTGCCTTTGTCGTGTGGAAGATTTTCATCTAGGAATCCAGATCATGAGCGATGACGTGTTCGTCAACGCTTCATTCGATGCCGTCAATGCGACCGTTCTTCTTGCGTTCATCCACGAGAATGCGAACAAAACGTCGTCGAAAACCGGCGAAGACGCGCTCCACTCGATCAAGATCATCCTTCCGGTCACGATCATCTTCATCACGATCTTCTTCACGGGTCTCGTGGGCAACATTTGTACCTGCATCGTGATAGCGCGCAACAAATCGATGCACACCGCGACAAACTACTACCTGTTCAATTTGGCCATTTCGGATTTGTTGTTGTTGATATGCGGCCTTCCTCAGGAAACATACACGTTATGGTATCCGGACGATTACGTGTTCGGCGAGGCTTTCTGCGTGCTCCAGGGATACGCCGCGGAGACGTCTGCCAACGCCACGGTCTTAACGATCACCGCGTTTACAGTCGAAAGATATCTGGCGATATGTCACCCGTTCCTGTCGTACACGATGTCGAAATTGTCGCGGGTGGTAAAGTACGTGGTACTGGTGTGGGTCTTCGCGTTGTGCCTTGCGGCACCTCAAGCATTCCAGTTCGGCATAAAGCACCAGGTGAACGTCGACGGTTCCGAAAGGAGCATCTGCACCGTCACTGGGGGCAAGTATGCCCAACACGCTTTCGAAATATCGTCGTTCCTGTTCTTTGTCGGGCCCATGACTGTCATTACCGTGCTGTATATACTGATAGCTGTTAGGTTACACAAGTCGAAAATACTGGCTCGTAGCTCTGGGATACAAAGGAACAGTGCAAGGGTGGAACGGGGAAACGATTCCAGGTCGAAAGGAACCGCCGCGCAACGAAGAGTCATCAAGATGCTTGGTAAGGATTGTCTCTTTGTTTTTTTTGAAGGAAGAGTCTGACATAATCAGGGTTTTAGAGTTTTGAGTCGATAATTTTTGAACTCCTTTCTACAAAAATTAATGTTTCAAAAAAAAAATGTTAATAAGTACCCGTGTTAGAAATGAAGACACCTCTTTTTTTTCAACATGGTCCCCTTTTAGAATGATACATTTTACCCAACTTCCCTGCCATTTTTTTTACCTCTCCAAAAAATAAGATTTGTCAAACTCTCCAAAATCCCCACTGTCTCGGCGATGACTTCCTCGTTTGAGCTAATTTTTCTTCTCGCTAGTCATTTCTTCATGGTAGGGAACAAGACGAAGTCGCAGGGAGTCAAATCGAGTGAGTACGGGGTGTGTGGCAGAAGTTCATAACGTAATTCATGCAGTTTAGCGGGAACAACTCCTGATGAATGTGCCGGTGCGTTTTCGTCAAATGCGTCCGTGTCTCCTTCAAGTTTTTGTCGAAGCGGTCTAATAACTCACTGTAGTATTGTCCAGTGATCGTTCTTCCTTTTCCTAAAAAATCCATAAAATGATTTCCTCGGTAACAACGTTTGCCAGGCTTCCTGGTCGCTCCTATCAAGAACGGATCTTTGCCCACGTTTAAATTCGTTTAAGCAATATCTAACTGTGGTCGTAGATGGCGAAATGTCTCCATAAACAGTATCCAACTTTGTTTTCATCTCCTCGCATTTTTTCCCATCCAAAAACAAAAAGCGAGTTACCTAACGATACTGCTCTTTTTCCATCTTAGCGAAAATAACGAAACACGTCTCAGTCGAATGGCTGCCAAATCCAAACTAACCTATCAATCAGTCTGAAATTCGTTTTGGCGTGGTTTGATAGATGGCAGCACACGATGACAACACCAATTTCCCTCAGGAACGTCCTCTGTCTTCAAACACGGGTACTTATTGAACCGCCCTCGTAGGTTTTGAAAGTTGTTTCTAGATTATTATCTAATTTATGTTGATAAGTATTAGAGGCGTTCGAAATGTGGTGTTATAGGCCAATATGATCAGAATACCATGGATAGAAAAGGTTAGAAATGAAGAGGTATTAGAAAGAATAGGAGAACGGAGTTCACCATGAAAGTCTATAACAAATAGGCGAGATAGGTTGATATGACATCTTCTCAAACGTGAAGGGGTAGTTAGAGACATGTTAGAAGCAGGAGTTAAGAGCATTAGAGGCAGACCTAGATTAGATTACTGCTTACAAACAGTTACGAATGTGGGATGTTCTAGTTTTATGATGATGATATTTTTATTAAAAATAGGGTGAAGTCTCTATTTTCAAAGAGAAATGTTTCAAAAAAGAGCGCACTGTTTACCAAAAGAAATCCTTGGTACAGTGTAACAATTTCATACAAACAACTCAGTAATACAATAGTTCTGGCATCCAACAAAAAGACCACCTAATGAGACTTGAAGTGCCTCACGATACACAAGAATTTTATCACATTTGCTCAAAATTGGTTGAGAAACAAGGCTACTAAATGTGGCGCAGAAAAGCCGTACTGCATTTAACTTTTAATTAAATTTTTGATTTCGCTTTATTAGACATTCACTACTAGCTTGTAATAATTCTAACAATTTTCGAAATTAACTTTTGTCGAAAATGAACGCATTCAAAATTAAAACCGCAAATTCGTTTTTACTAACACAATTTCCTTTACTAATATATTTCTAGCTGCAGCAGTTTACTCGATTTTCCCTGCATTTTCGTAGATTATAGCCCTGTTCTGAGTTAGTTACCAACACAAATACAAGTCGAAAACACTGGACTTGGAAACTAAAAGAAACTGTCAATATTGAACTGTTGAAAGTAAATTGAGTTCTTCGTGTCTTACTAAACAAATGAATTTCATTTCGTATTCGGCTCGAAGGACCAAATGAATAAAGTTATATAAATATTGTTTAGCATCATTTCGTAAATGGTTTGTTATTAAATGCGATTGTTCTACGTCGGCATACGATCGGTAATTGAATGCAAAAAGTGATTTTGTGCATTCACGTGTATTTTTTGATGCAAATGAGATCTGTTTGCATCTTTTTATTACACGTGTCCCGTTATGCAACTTCAACCCACGTCCGTATTCCCATAGTCAGCATGCGTGCTGTGCTCGATTCTATGTACACACGCGTATGGATGTCTGTAAATAGGATAATAATTACTAGGATAACACAATTACGAAGCTAGACAAACATGCCGATAATCCTTCGCCCTCTCAGCGGAATCCTATTTGAATTCGATTAGAGACTTCGTTAAATGTTTACTCTGGAAAATTATTTATCTAAGTAAGAGACTTTTCTTACAGGAATAATTTAATAGACACCGTACCACGTCACAAAAAAAAATATGAGTACTTATTAAAAATTTATAGGAATGGAATATTATTAATGTAAAAATTCATTTTAATTTTCTCCAACTACAGACCACCTCAAGTTAATGAGGGAAAAATTTGTTGCTGTTGCTATTAAATGTCAAAGAGTTTCATATTTATAGTGTTAATATAGTTACATTAGTTCGACAGATCTGTGACTTAATAAGTACGGTTTGTCGTTGTTGCTGTTGTCACCTCTCGTAGTTTAGTGGTCAGAGCGTTGGTGCGTAAAGCCAAAGGTCCCGGGTTCGATTCCCGGCAAGGGTGTGACAACAGCAACAAACTTTTCCCTCGTTAACTTGACGTAGTTTGTAGTGGGAGAAAATTAAAATGAATTTTCACATTAATATTTGATATTAACCCCTATTAAATGTCAAAGTGTTTCATATTTATGGTATTGGTAGGAATGCTCTTGTTGTTGGATGAGATTGCAAGTGTCAAATGAAAATAACACTTAATTAGAAACCAATTGTCTGATGCAAAAAGTATTGGGATCCGTCAAATGGGAGGAGCCTAAAAACATGGCACCGATTAGGGAAAATTTATCGTAGTTCCTATAGTGTACCGTGCAATTTCCAAGTTTTTAAATTACGATAAAATGATAAGTATTGACACAATATGTGATTGGGCTGACACAAAGCCTCGGAAAGGAAATTTCGTTGAAGGTGAGCGTGTTTTTAATGC